ACAACTCTGATGCACACCTTTCCTGATTTTAAACCATGTAGTGTTCCCTTGATCTGTTGGCACACAGCTTCTTGGTCAAGGTATAAATTTCAAATAAGTACCTTTAAGTATTCTGGAATTGCCATTCTTCTCAATGTTAGACAGAATTGTAAAACACACAGTCAAATGCATTTGTATAGTCAATAAAACACAGATAGATATTCTTCTGGTATTCTCTGCTTTCAGCCAGTATCCATCTGACATTAGCTATGATATCCCTAAGGCTACATCTTCTCCTAAACTCAGCTTGAACTCTGGTAATTCTCTATCAATGAATTGTCCTAACCATCTTTGGACGATCTTCATCAATATTGTCTCTATTACTGCCAATTATAACTTCCAGAGAAGCAGTGAGAGGCCATAGATAGTCAATACCGCTAAAATTCTCCCTTTAAATCCTAGCTCTACACTTATTAGCTATGAGACACTAAGCAATTTTCTTAAACACATTCTGCTTCCTCATCTGAGAAATTTCTACCTCATAATATTTAAGCAGAGTAAGGCCATAAAACATGTATCACACAGAAATAAGCTTAAAATAAGAGTTTAATAATCATTAGTTATTATCAGCTGTGTTAATACTCAATGGATGCCTGGTAAACAATTTCTATCCATTTTGGAATCTTTTATTGTCTTTTCTCACTACCTTTGAAGGCAGGGTAGTTCTAGATGCATGTTTATGTACCAAACTGATATGGGCTGAGTTGTGCCCTCCAAAAAAACTTAATGGTGTCTTAACTCATATGCTTGTGAATATTACTTTGTTGGGTGTTTTTAGGAATTGTAGGTTTACCTGTAGGTGTTATTTGTTAATAAGGTTAACTAGGAGTAGTTTAAAAAATGTATTCTTGTTGAGATGGGTCATTGCTGACTTTCTATTGTGTTTCTGAGCCAGAAAAACCTTGAGAGGAAAATGCTCATCTTTCTCCTGAGGAGCCACGAGTCGATTTGAACTACCAGAGGGGCACCACCTTCAGGTCAGCAGCATGACTCAAACACTGATCATGCCACCAGAGCTCCCTAACTGCTTAGTGAATACCCTACATACATTGGCAACTGTTAGCTTGTTGTTCTTATTGTTGTTGTTGTGTACTACAGAGTCTGAACTGAATCATAGCTAACCCTCTGGTGAGTTTTCAGAGGCTGTAATATAGCATGGGAGGAGACAGCTCATCCTTCTCCTGTGAAGCAGGCCCTAATTGCGTACCTTCAGAACTATGACACAGCTTCTTGCCACCAGAGTTACCTTTTAAATTATTATATTTCGATTGACTTTTCCAACTATGTTTCATGGTTTGCATTTTCTTTTGTAAGGCTCTTTACCTTTTTCTATAGCATGATGCTTGCCCCAGAGTAATGTCCAACAATGAATGGATTTTTGATGTTAAAAAAAAAATGGGAGGAGTAGTTATAAGTCAGTCAGTCAGTAATATTCCATACTTAATCTGAAAGACTCCCCTGTGCTTTATCTTCCCTATGCTCAACATCCCCTAGTGAAGGAGAAGCTGAACTGTGCCAAGGTTATAACATGATGCAATATAAAGAAAATTAAACTATGAATCAGAAGGACTTTGTTTGGGTATCAGCTTAAGGGGAAAAATCAATAAATCAAGTAAGCAAGCAAGAAATCATTCAATCTCTCTCTCTCTCTCACACACATACACACACACCAAGCTCACTGCTCTTGAGTTGAACTAATCGCAATCTTCCATTAGGTTCCTGAAAATGTAAATATTAATGAGAAGGGACTGCCTACCTTTCTCTGAAGGAGCCACTAGAAGGAATTGAACTACTCGAATGAACACAGCCTTTTACTTAGCAGTACAACATGATACACACTATGTCACCAAAGTTCTGTATATATACACATACAAACTTTGAAAAGTTCTGCACATGGTAAAGTAACCATGGTAAGAAACCATCGTGGTATAGTGGTTGCTAGGTGTTAGTTTTAACTTATAGTACCGCTATGGTTTCACAAGATGAACTATGGCAAATCCTTACAAGCATAGCAATAAAGAAATCATTACAAATATCATATTAACTAAATCTAATTCCAGTGATGTTCTGAGGAAAGGACCATTGTTGTTGTTGTTATTGTTGTTAAGTGCAGTCGAGTCATAGGCAACTCTTAGTGATTCTATTAATGAAAGACTTTAACACTTGTATATATAACTTTCATCCTTTCTTTAGGTTCATAGGGTTTCTGGAGGCAAGTTATTTTGAAAGTGGAGGCCATTCCTGCTTCCAAGCTTGTTTTTATTTGGGAGCTCCACCAAACACTGTCCACCATGGGTGGCCATTATCACATTTGACACACCAGAGTCACAGTGTTCAGATCACAGCAATCACGAGTTACCTCTGTACAGCAAGTGGACAGACCACGGCTATACAACCTACAAGAATATTTGACCAAAAACAATTAAAAACAGGCCCAAGGATCTGTGGCCCTTGGGCCCTACTGAATTTAAGAACCAGAGCACGGTTCAAACTTCATGAGCTCCTTTATTCCAAATTCCTCCATAATCATGCATTCTTATTGGCTCTCACCACCCAAAAACGTCCACCTGGGAGCACTACACAGTTTTTTCAATCTCCTCTTATTCTGATGCCACATGTTTCTTCATAGAGTTGGGGTACAAGTTGCCGTACTGTGGTCACTTTTGGTTGCTGTGAGGCTGAACACTGTGACACTGATGTGCCAATGGTTGGTTACCCAATGCGGACAGAGAGTGGGGTGGAGCTCCCCAATTAAAACAAGCTTGGAAGGAGGAGTGGCATCCACTTCCATAACAGCTTGCCTCCAGAAACCCTATGAACCTGGAGAGAGGATGAAAGGCACCCAAGTGTCGAGGACACTTCATACTGTCGCTATGAGTCGCCTGCAACTCAACGGCACTTATCAACGACAACAACAATGATTTGTCCACCATGTAGACTGAATACACATGAGGGAAGGATACATATGTAAACAGAAAAAGAACAAAGGCCTGAAGCCTTTCTATAACTATCATTATGTCTCCAAGTTTTTAGACTTTCCACAGGCATGTACTTTATGAAGTGGATGCCAGTCCTGCTCCCAAACCTGAATCAATCTGGGAGCTCCAACAAAAACTGTCCATGATGGGTAGCCAATTATGGTGTTTGACACACTTATGGCCTAGTTGTCCATCATTTCAGCAACTGTATGTTATCTCAGTAGAGCATATAGAGAAAAAAATAGAAAAAAAACAACCACACAAGCCACACAGATCCACAATCAAAACAAGAGCGCCATTGTAGAGTCAACCACTTCACCTAACTCCAAAATGGAGACAAGGGCCAGGCTTTATATGTTGCTGTTGTTGTTGTTAAGTGTCATCGAGTGGTGACCCTATAAACAAAAGACTCTAACCCTGTTCTAGAAAAATTATCCTATTGGTTCATAGAGTGTCCACAGGCACGTTTAAGAAGTAGATGCCACTCCTGCTTCTAAGCCTGTCTTAATCTGTGAGCTCTACCAGACTTTGTCAACCATGCACAACCATTATGGCAATTGATACACCACTGGCATGCCGTTTAATATTACAGGAATTCCAAGTTACCCAAGTACAGCAAAATGACAGAAAAGTGCTGTCCTACACAGGAAATGTTCATTTGAAATACAATTAAATCAGGCCCAAGGTCAATAGGCTCGAGGTCCCAAATAACTTTTAAAAAAACAAAACAAAACAAACAAACAAACAAAAACCTCTCAGCTTCCACCCCAGCTTTTCATTGGCTCCAAGGAGGGATTCCCAGCCCACTCTCACCACCAACCAAGAGCCATCTTCCATGGCACATGAGAACTGGCCCTTCCACAATTTGAATGACTTATTTTTTTAAAAAAACAACCAAAAACAAAACAAAAAAACCTACCTCAGCTTCCACCCCAGTCTCTCATTAGCATAATATTAATAGTATCCCTGCCCCAGAAGCATCATTGAGGACCTAATCCTAACTTCCATGACAGAATTTGGGCCTCATAATTTTTATATTCTGAAATATTTCATCTCATCTAATCACTCATTCTGAAAGCATAGATTTACCCAACATGTCAACTCTTTATCCAAGAGCTCCTGGCTGCTACATGATATATGCAATACAGTTACTAGCCAGAAGACTCACAAAAGAGGAAGTAAAAGAAAAACAAAGATTGTTAATAAATTTGAAACATTTGCTCTATTTCTACAGAAAGTTAACTATGGAGATGAGGAGGCCATTCTAGGGAACACAAAAGAACCAAGAGCATTGAGGATAACTGGAATGATCCCATTTTCACACTGTTGGGTGTGGGTGTGTGTCTTGCTACCATTTCACTTTATTTTGTATCACTTTCAAGCACAATCAGTATCATCAGAAGCCATGTTAGGCTTGAGTAGTATCAATAAAGAATTGTACACCAGGAAGGACACAAGAAGTCAATGCATTGAAAGGGGCAGTTTCTGGCAACGTACATGCTATTAAAATGAAGCGATCACTGTGACTTTTTTGTTACTCTAGGGGATAAATTGTTGTTGTTGTTGTTATGTGCCGTCGAGTCGCCTGCGACTCCTAGCGACCCTATGTACAACAGCCCTAAACTCCGCTCTGTCCTGTGCCAATCGCACTGTCTCTGACACTCCCATCCCAATTATCCCAGTCACTGAATCAATCCACCTCATAGAGGGCCTTCCTCTCCTGCGCCGTCCCTCCACCCTCCCAAGCATGATGTCCCTCTCTAAGGACCGGATTCTCCTCACAACATGTCCAAAGTATGTTAGACGGAGCCTCAGAATCCTTGCCTCCAAGGACCCAACCGGTTTAACCCTTTCCAGGACAAATCTGTTAGGTTAATGAAAAATAGCAACACATTTCACAATGGAGTAGGAAAGGGTTCAACCTTTTCCCAGCATTACAACCCTGAATCAGGTAAGAAATCATTCAGGTAAAGATCACCTTACCTCGATTTTTCCCCAGATGGCTTCATAGTTGTCTTGGTGTTGAATATCTTGCATCAGTTTCTGAATTAAAGCTGATTTTGTGGCAGCATGTCTTTCATTCTTCTCTGAGGATGAAGCTCGCTCTGACTTCTCATCTTTGTATTTTTTCACACCAGACAGAGGCAGACAAAAGTCCTCATCAGAAAGAATGTCACTCAGAGGTCCAGATTCAATGCTCTCCCCGAGTGAAGAGGCTATGTCACTGGATGAGCTTGGCGACACCCTGCCCAGCCTTGTATGCTTCTTTTTGACATGGTAAGTTGGGTACATCTCAGAATCTGAGTTCATTTCAGACAGTTCCCAGTCATCAATATTCTGAATGGTTTCTCCTCTGGGTTTATGGGGCAGAAGCTTTGTTAAGTTTTCTAACTTCAAAGCTAACACTTCTGTCTGCTTAAGGTGAGAGGGCAGTGCTAGATATTCATCAGAGCCATACCAGGCCTCCACGACCTGACCATTTCTGGTAACATGACTTGGGGAAGAGGAGGAACTTTTCTTGCTTTGGGGCTTTGAAAGCACGGGTAATGGAGACAAGTTGGAATCTGAGCCAACAGAAGATTCACTGCTTTGAGTACAAGGTGGTGAACTAGAGGTTTCTGACTGTACTGGCAATTTGGTCTTCCAACTTTTCTGAGTACGTGGTTCCAGCGAGGACACAGAAGCTGAATCTGTTTCTGGATCCTCTTTGGCCTTGGAAATGCAAGAAGGAATTCCATTTGGCACAACTAAGCTTCTAGTGTTTTCAGCCTTGTTGCTTGAGTCACTTCCCCTTTTAGGTGTTTGGCATGAAGATAGTACCTCTGGGGTCTCATGAGACTTTTTAAATTGAGGCTTCGCTTTTCGACAGTCATTGAGCCTTCCTAAGCTGGAAGAGATTTCCTTAATGTGAGCTTTGACTGTATTTTCAAGATTCCCAATACCCACCTTGTACAAACATTCATATGACTGGCTGGCAGCTGATGCACTGTTGGGGTAGGAAGATTGTAACATCAGGCAGAGCTTGGACCTGTCTGGCGGGTCTACCAGGGAGGGCGTGCTTCTGCTCATCTCGGGCTTTAGATCGACCAGCTGCTTCTTTCTACCACTATCTTTCTGATCATTCTTCAAAGTCTCCTCTTTAAGGAAAAGCCCTCTCTTTGGCAATGTGGGCTGCGTGGGAGAGTCCTCGTTATAATTAAAGCAGTCTCTGATGGTTCGCTTGGGAGTTGTATTTTCACAAAGAAGAGGCTGTTGGTTCTTTGCACCATAATGGTTGGAAGAACTGGATTCTTGCTTTGTGGTTTCAGAAGAGGGTTGAATAGCATTTGTCAGAGGTTCTCCTGATGATGATGTCCCTGGGGTTTCATCTGCAAGCTCACTGGCTGCGGAAGTGTTGTTTTTCTCACATCTACCTTTGTCATCTGTTAAAAGAGATACTTCCTCACCGACTTCTTCATTGCAACTGGGAGGGATGGAGTCAGTGGCCACTGTAAGTAATCCAACACTTCGGATAAGCTCAGGGAATTCCTTTTCCATCTCACTGTAGCTCCAAGTCTCAAATGGTTTGGTTTTGACCTGGTTAGAGGTCATGTCACCCAGGCCACCAAGCAAATCCTCACTTGGACTGTAGTCAGACAGCTCAAAAGCAGTAATACCACAATCCAGAGATAAGTAATTTTGAGAGCACTTGATGGTTAACTGTCCTGAGTCATCCACTTCTGTGAGAGAATCAAGGCGGCCCTGAAACAGACAATGACAATGGTTTCAGTAAATGCATCATCAATTGAATTAAATTGCTGTTCAAATGAGGTCATAGCACAGGCCACTAAAAAGACCAAACACGCATCAATCTAAATAACTTCTGGTGTGAAATACAGAAGGGCATGATAATCAATTACCACATTCCTTTATATAACATTCTATTCTTAAATATTTAAGGATTTCTACTTAATCTGTAGGACAAAGGCTTGATGGAAATAGTAAAGGTCAAGTGAAAAATATTTGTTCTTGTCTTAAAATTCTGTTTAAAAATAGTGTGCTGTTTATTTAAGAACCCTTTCCTTTTTAGTATTTTCCTTATCTTGTACCTGAGCCAATAGTTAGGTCATAGTAGATATTCAATACATAATTTCTAAGCAATGACTTTGTAGATTCATCAATATCCATAAATCACAAGAAGCAGAACCACTAAATCTGTGATTTAAAGAGATTTCAAGGCCAGCTTCTCTGTTTCCACCCTTTTGAAAATAAATTCATTGCCACTGGATCAGTTTTGACTCTTGGTGACCTTAAAGGGCACAGTAGAACTGCTCCAATAGGGTTTCCAAAGCAGATCTTTACAGAAGCAGATTGATAAATGTTTCATGGAATAGCTGGTGGGTTCAAACTACCAACTTTTTGGTTAGCAGCTCAGCACTTAACTATTGTGCCTCATCTTTTGAAGGTAAAACACAGCTGAATCTAGAGAAAACCAATGACAATTAAGATTCTATCATCTTAGTTCTTTTCTTTGTATGCATACTCTCACCCCATTCATATATGTTAGACACTAAGTGCTAATCCTCACATTATGGAAAACTCTTCTATATTCAAAGGTATAATTACAAGAATTTTATTTTTTTTAACCATTAATTGATTTTCCCCCTCCTTACTAGTGCAATTTTTGATATTACAAGAAATGGACCTGTTTCTGGTTGAGGCAAAAGGACCTACCTCTGGGACCTTGTAATACTAGTTTGAAGGATAGTCTCACTAACAACATAGGAAATTGGGAAGTGAAGGGTCATTCTATCCCCAAAGCTCAATTCTCCTGGAGGAGAATCTGAGACAAGCAGACTGCTCTGGTCTTCATGTGTCTGTTGGAGCCTGTGCCTCCTTTCACTATGCTAATCCAAGATCTGATCTCTCTAGCTCCCTACTTGATCTTTGTTTTTCTTCAGTACTTTGTTTTTCTACTAGTTTACTTACAAAATTTGAAAACATTGTTTTCAAGAAGAAATTCTTTCATTTCCCTTCCCCCACCCTGCTTCCATCAAATTGTACAACACAATGATTAATCACCTCTCCAACCCCGGCACATCCTCATCTCTTTGCTTCCAGCCTCTCCTACCTCTCTTAGGTCCTTATACTCATTCTACAGTAATGGTTTTATACAATATTTATCCTTGTGGGACTGAGTTAGGTCACTTAGCATAATGCTCTCCAGTCCCTCCCAAGTTAGGTAATAATTTACAAAATCGTTGCTCCTGGGTGCTGCATAGTATTCCACTGTGTGAATGTAGCATGATTTCTCAATCCATTCGCTTTATTGTTCTTTCTTGTTTTAGGAACGTTCTTTCCCCTTCATTACTCACCTTACCATCACAGCATCAGATAAAGAATAATGATGACTAGCCTCATCAATTTTCTAAGCCTCAATTTTTCTTTATCTGAAAATGATAGTGATTGATAACTATTATTTTTTCAGTTAATCTTCAAAGTAACATTCTTCTGGCACTGTGCTATTGCTTTTGCTTTTTTTTTTTTTTTATTATATAGGAGGGAACTGAACCAAGGGCATAACTTGTTGTTATTTACTGTTGAGTCAGAATTGACTCATAGCTGACCCTCCAGCAGCTTTTGAGTGACAGAAAATCACACAGGAGGAGACTGTTCATCTTTCTCTCATAGAGCAGCTGGAGGGTTCGAAGTGCATGCCTTTGGGTTAGCAGTGAAACCCTGGTGATACTAAGCCAGCAGAGCTCCCTTAACTAGCACATAGCCTTATGACTAAGAGTTAAGTTAGGCCTGTATCCAGCCTCCTTATTTGATCCATATCCTAATCTTTAAAATCAAAAGCCTTCAAGGCTTCTTACATCACTCTTCCCTTCCTGGATGTAATAAACCTTAATGGCCTCCTTCAGTTCTTTAACATACAATGTGCCCTTCTGCTTCAAGGCCTTTGCACATGCTGTTTCCTCTGTGTGGAAAATTTACCACCTATATCCTTAACTACCTACCTACCCATTGCTGTTGAGGTGATACCAACTCATAAACACCTCTATTGTATTTTAAAGGCTGTAAATCTTTATGGGAGAGGTCTGCCCCTCTTTGTCCTGTGCAGAAGCTGGTGGATTCCAACTGATGACCTTTAGGTTAATAGTCTGACACTACACCACCAGAACTCCTTATCCCTTAGCTAGCTAATTCTTTTATCTCTCAGATCTCAGCTCAATTTCCATTTCTTCAGGATTCCATATCACTATTTCTTTAGGTCAGAATCTGTTACTGTGAGTTCTTACAAAATATGTTGGGGTGTTTGTTTTTTTTACCATTTATCTCAATTTGAAAATAAATATTATGATTATCTGGTAATTCCTTCCACCAGCTTTAAAATGCCATTACAGTCAAGATCATACAGAAGATTACTGTCTCACCATAGTACCTGCAACAAATAATGCAGTGTTTTGCATGTAGTAAGTATTCAAAACACATCTTTTGAATAAATCAGTAAACAAATGATGACATTTTAGACTGAGTTTCTATGTTTTTATATAATTTCTCCCTGGGATATGTAGTCTCAGTTGACTAAAGTGATTAACAATGTTAGTTTGAGAATGAAATTCTGGTTCCAACATTTACTAGCATGTGCACCGTGAGCCAGCAGCTTGATATCACTAAATTTCATTTCCTTCTTCTGTAAAAATGAAATAGCAAGTTATGCCGTGGAGGTGTTGTGAAGCTTACAGGAAATAAAATATGTAAAGTAAAAGTCTAATAAATGAGTGTGCAATGAATGCTCACTCTTACTTATGGCATTATTATTTTTAGTAATGAAGTATATGGAGAAAGTGTCATCAAGACCAGACATATTTCTGTGCTAAATTGCAAAAATAAAAAATATCATTAACTGTCAATATTCATAAAAATTATGTAAATAAAATTTGCAATTCTTTTCCTTCTTACTGGAAAGAGTCTTTAAATAAGAAACTCAGAAGTCAAAACCAGCAAGGAATGAATGAGTCAAACAAAATGGCATTTTATGTGATTTTGGAAAGATAGTAATATCACAAACATCTAAATTTAAAAGCAGGTTATACATATATTTATTTTAAAAGTTAACTGTTCAGTACTTAGAGCTCATCCTTTTCTCAGAAATAGTATTATAAACTATGATTAAGTGCCAAAGTTATCCCCCAAAGACCTATTTAAATTACTAACCAGTTGAGATTTATAACGTTATTTGTATTCTCTTTCTTACAAAGGTATACTATTTGAGTCATTGAAACAAAGATAAAGAGATTTTAAGGGAAAGCATTTTTGTGATATTTAAGGGTAAAAGAATTTGAGGAGTTCAGATAAAAATTTGAACTTTGAAAGTACCAAAAAAAAAAAAAGTAAGTACAGTTGCTTGCCTGTGGTCAAACAAGGTGTACAATGGTCTTGGAAATAAATTTGGTCCTGACTTAGATGCAATCTTGCTGAATAATTTATTTCAGATAGATTAAATGGATAAATAGAAGGGGTGACATTACCTCTCAGAATAGAGAATGGCTACCATTCCCCCATGTCCCCAGGATTCTCTAACAAGTCCTAAATATGGAAAAGCAAAGTCATGTGCCAAAACACTTTATGCTTTAAAAAAAGTTCTCTCCCTCCTATCTCACTCCCAGAAAGGTCAACTATTTCTGTGTATGGTTAATAGCCACTCAGGGGTAACTGTATTTAAATTTATACTCCATGTTGGCTTGGAGGGGAAACTGAGCCCTCCCTGGAGAAAAAGAAAATAAACCAACAAAACACAAGTGATCTGTTTCAATTCTTAAAGGTCAAATGACAATCATCATCAACAACAATAACAAACATACAGAAACACACATATATTAACATGGGTGATTATTATGAAAATGTATTCTACCAGCACACAGGAAAAAAAAACCTCTGGAAAATGTTCTTAAAATTTCTTGGGACAGATGAATTATGAATTTGATTTCCTAAAACTTGGTTACAATACTTGCACCTAATGATCCCTTCTGGATCACCTTTCCAGCTAGGTTTCTGACGCATCTTTCCAGTATATATATATAGGTGGCGGAGAAGGCATGCTTTCCCTCCATTTTTATTTCAGAATTCTCAAACTGTACCAGCAGACATATCAGGGCTGCCTGGTAATGTCTCCATTCAAATATTTCTCTATTTAATATCTTATGAAGGAGCTTTTCAAATGAAGGTTACATTTTATGAAGCTGATAATTTATTCACTTTATTGATAGGCAATTTATTCACTTTATTGCTTGCTTCAATCTTATCTCAGACATCAAGAAAACTCCCTTTTCTTTTCATAATTTAAAGCAAGGACTTTTGCTTTGTTCCTCACCCATAATTAAGTTAACTGAAGCTCAAATTCCAAATGCCTTCTTGGCTATTTCTTTTTCTTTGACATTATATTTTCCATTGTTTAAAAAATTTGCTATTAAAATTCTCAAGGCAGTATCAGTTCCAGTTGCTACTATGGGTCAGTTTTGTACCCTGATTTAATGGTCCTACAGAGGACTCGACGGCAAACGACTCGACAGCACATAACAACAACCAAGGACATAATTGGAATTAGAATTTCCTGGTTATACTCAACATTAAACTAGTGCCTCTCTGTCTGCAAGTTTGAAGCGCTCGTGGTGGCTCTCAGAGAGAGAGATAAGCAGTCACTTCCTCTGAGTTTTACAGTCTCCAAAAGCATGCTAGAAGATTAGTTATAAGTCATC